TATCCCATGCTTGTGGATTGGAAGATTCAATATAGTCAAGATGTCAGTTCTAACACAGGCAATATATAAGTTTAATTCAATCCTATATAATTACCCCCATCCTTCTTCAACAAAAAGGAAAAACTGATAACCAACTTCATATGGAGAGGGAAGAAGCAAAGAATTAGCAGAGAACTCCTCAAGGAGTTCTCCTCAAGAACACAGTGGGAGGGCTTGCTTTTCCTGACTTTAGCATATACTATACAGCCACAATTGTCAAAACTGCATGTTATTGGAACAATGACAGATACTCAGGCCAATGGAAAAGAACTGGAAACACAGAAATAAAATCATCAGCATACAGACAACTGATCTTTGATAAGGGCCTAAAAAAATCAAATGGGAAGCAGATGCCCTCTTTAACAAGTGGTGCTGGAAAAAAATGGATATTTACCTGCAGAAAAATGAAGCAAGACCCTTATCTTACTCCATGCACAAGAATAAACTCAAGGTGGATCACAGACCTTGAAGTTAAACCCCAAAATATTAGGGCCATCAATGAGGGAATTGGGACCAACTTGAGAACTTTGGCACAAGGAATGCATAGGCTATCAGAAATAAGGAAGGACACACACACAGGAAAAAAAGAAATAGGGGGAAGGACACAACACAGAAGAAACACAAATTGACAAATGGGATATACTGAAGATAAAACACCTGTGAACATTGAAAGACTTCACCAAGTAATAAGAGAGTCCACGGACTGGGAAAACATCTTTAGTAATGACACGTCAGACAATGGCCTTATTACTAAAATCTACAATACTCTGCTAGCTTCCAAAAAGAAAAAAACTTATTGCCCACGTGAGAGGTGTGCAAAGGAATTTTTCATAGGGGCAAAAATCCGAATGGCCAACAAACATATGAGAAAATGTTCCTGTCTTTAGCTATAAGAGAAATGCAAATTAAAACAACAAGGTACCACCTAACACCCTCAAAGGTAGCCCAATTCAAAAAATCAGAAAGCAACAAGTGTTGGAGGGGCTGTGGAGAGCCAGGAACTCTCATCCATGGCTGGTGGACTTGTATGTATGACTACTATGGAAATCGATCTGGCGATATCTAAAACAGATGGAAATCGAGTTATCATAGGTCCCAGCCACCCCCCTACTGGGCATATAC